GCGGCCATTTTGTCTCAGGAGATTTAAAAGGCTTTGTTTATGCACGGCTAGCCTCGTTCTTACAAAGCTTTCTATTGTCTTGCTTCACAAGACGCGGTTGGATCATGCGATTTCCCGCCAAAAAAATACCTAGTTCCATTTGGGTTGCCATTCCAGTTGATTGCGTTATTTTACATTGGTTTCCCTGTTGTGTAGTCGGACGGGCGCTCGGGCAAGCGGACGTATGGTCACGTGACTTCCAAAATTTCATGGGTGGATAGGTGACCAAATTTTCTTCGCTATAGGGCTCCGCTCACGCGCGCGCGTGGAGCTCCGCTAAAAGACACAGATGGGGAGGGAAAGTTCAGAAGAATGCTCAGTTTTCTTTTAGTGGACTAAGGAAGGCTTTTTCTTTACAAAATTGTCCTTCAAGGAATTCGAAACTCAAGAAAAAATTTTCTTCACGGCGGATCGGAGCGCTTGTCCGATTTTGAAACGTAACCAAGCACCAAAGTTTTTGGAGAATTTTCAGGTACACTTTGTACTCTATAATCAAGAAATTTCCTGGTTTTTAAAAGAAAGTTTATCATGTATTTGTAAATATTTCACCTTAGACGTTTTATACGTTTTGAGATCGGCTTGAGCGTCCTGATATGAGATTTGTGTTGAATATTTTTTGCTGTCAGCCAATTTTACTTGCGTGAACGGACCACGAGCGAAGTTTGTGTTACGCGAATCAATTATCAATTTATTAATTATTAATTCATGGGGTTTTTAGTTAAAATTTTCGAGAAATTATTTCTCAGTCTGTTGTTGTGTGTGCGTTCATTGATTACATTACCTCAAAACACGATCTTGAGACTACAGCATCCAAGTTGAATTTTTAAATTCAACTTGGATGCTGTAGTCTCAAACATTAAACATTAAAATGTTTCTCACATTACACGCATCACTTCTGCAAATGTCGGCGAATTTTATAGGATTTTCACTTTCGGGTTCAGTTTTTGAGCACTTTTCGATACCAGGAGTCGCAGCTGATGAATTTTATTTGAAAGTATGTGTATCTCGTTACCCAAGATTTGCACTCTAGGTTTACTACACAGAGGGTCACTAAAGTACTTTGAAAATTCGAACGGTCGTTTAAATGGGTTAAGAGCTACAAACTCCGATAGTTCAGTTGGAATGATGAGACTGAAGGAGCAGTAAGCAATCTTCACGGGACTATGAATAACATTCTGATGACTTTTCAAAGCCCAAAAAAGTCTATCTCGTAAATTTCCACGAGGGTTTTTTTGAAAAAGACATAATTTCAGAAAGCTACATACGCATGCGCACTCCGTTTTTGTCCAAGTCAATTGACCGAGAGGGACTGGGAAGACGCTATATGCGGATTGTATACTTGGTTGCTGTTTCAATCGGTTGCAAGTCTACTACATTTATTGCTGGGAAAGCAAGCAAGTACCGGTTAGAGCGACTGCCTTGGTAAGTACCTACGACAAGATACATGCTCTCAAATTTTTTAAGTCTATATTTTAAAGATACCCAGGCATTTCTGTTGGCGTTCACGATTACAGGAAGACATTCTTGCCAAATTATAAATTGGCCATACTCAAACATGGCAGCGGCATCATTGTCTACCCGCCATCCGAGGAATTTTGTTTTCATTTTCGGGCTTCTGGAACAGTCCATTTGTGTTAAAGACTGCGGCAACAGGAAATTTTAGCTGTACCCGGTACAGCGGAACGGTGTATAGTTGCATTACATTTGGTTTCTCTGTTCATAACTTATAAACATAATTAAAATTGAGAGATGTGGATTCATTTCCAAATCCTTATATCTGTATATAACTTCTAACTTATATCTTCATATAACTTTCACGGGGATCACAAACTGCCCATGGCCCAAAATTAGGATGTACAGAATAAATCAAATCGAACAACTCGAATTTTTCTGCCGTAAATTAAAGTTTGAATTGTGTAAACAAATTAAATTAAGGCCTTCTTGGACGGCTTATAAAAATTTATAAAGTGTTTTAGTTGAGAAAGAACAAGACTATGCAAAACTCAGTGCTAATTTAAA